CCTTCTTTCTGAAGCCGACACCAAGATCAAAGGTCTGATGCATTCGTGTTCGCATTCATAATATGTTTAAGTGAATTTTCTTTATAAGGATATATTAAATCATGATAGCTGAGTGCAGGTTTAGTGATATACTGATATTTCCACAAACGGTCTGTTGTTCCTCACCTCTAACCTCACCTTTTGGCCCTAAACAATGTTAGTTAACAAATCAGCCTCCAAATTAATGGGTCATTTTTTATCCAAGCACTTCTCTTTCTAGTCCTTGTTAAAGTTCTCGACATCTAGATTTGTATCTATATTTTTGGTTAATCTTAGATATAATGACATAAAAGAAAGTAAAAATAGAACTTTGTACAAGATTTTCATTTGGCTCAAGTTGGCAACGCCATGGATTCAGAATTAAGGCTTGGTTAGTTGGTTGGATGTTATCATACTTTATTTTATAGAATATTTTAATTTTCGGACCTTTCAAAAATAATTATTAGTTACTTTATTTTCTATAGTTATAATGAATATGTACCTACCCACAATTCCCTCTCCTCGGAACAAATTCTAACCACACACTTTTTTCTTTTCAACAACTTTCTTAAATTCTTTGAAGTCAAACTCTCGAGAATTCTATGGGACGGATGGAGTATATTAATATTGTTGTAATTTAGAGATTTCAAATTTAGCTCTTGTATGCAATATTATATCTGGATCTGGTTTGGGGTTTTTTTGCTGCAGACAATGTAATTTTCCACCATCACAAACTGGTCTTTAAATTTGACTTTTTGGGTCCAATATTACAAATTTTGGTTCTGATTTGAGGAAAACTTAAATATTTTTCTAACGTAATTTAAAGAAGTGATGTGTTGTTTAGATGAATGTTGTTACATGTGTTGTGGCTACGACCTATGGTCATGTGTATATCGAGTGCCCAATGGGGGAACCTATTCCATTTTAAGAGTACCTGAAGTAGACCCACAATCAAGGAGAGGCATAGTGCTAAGGTGGATGATTAACTGAGGCTTTTCGGTGTTTTCTACAACAATGTATGCCAGTAAGTTTGCTCTTCCCTGTAGAGTGATTGTGATACTTATATTCATGTGATCATGTCTTAAGGGACATAAAACAGGCACCATGGAAACCAATAATGTGTTATGATGGCAAAGGTCACCCTCAGGTTGTGTCTGTTATTTTGTAGGTTCTCATACTGACAGTTATTTCAAAACCAACCTAACCAAAACAATCCAAATATACTTGGTATGTTGGTAGATGTTTCATGTTTGGATATTTCATTTTACGAGTGAAAATGGAAAGTTCATTAAGATGGCATCATTCCAATAAATAGTGTATTCTGTAGTTAAAGGTCACCCTTGGGT